TTTATTTCAAATTTCGAGTAAAAGAAAATGAATATAAGTGAAAAACTAACAATTTTTTTAAACCCGTATATATATCTATTTGATTTCACTTAAGCAATACGAATAGTATGTAATATATTTCTATTTGATTTTACATGCTATTCGTACTGTTCAGGTGAAATCAAATAAATATATACATGGATTTAAAAAAAATTATTCACACACATGATCAATAAAAGATGAAAAAATTCATTTTGAAAAATGTGAAGGATGAAAAAATTCATTTTGTGAAATGTAAGGGACGAAAAAATTTATTTTATGAAATGTGACGAATTATGAATCGAATTATATAAAATTTGATTTAACAAATTTGCCTTTAAAATATGATCACGTGTAAGGCACGTGGTGAATTCCGACAAAAAACTAGTCGGAAACCTAAGTAGGGACTAAATTTGACCAATGTGAATTTGTAAGGGACGTAAAATTACATTTTTAAAAGCGAGAAACGAAAAAAGTTATTTTACAAAATGTGAGGGACGTTTTGAATGATTTTCCCTTTTAAAAAGGCTTTAATTTTCTAAAGTAAAACTCAAAAATGGCTTTTTTTTTTGTTGTACTTAATTGAGGAGTTAATCTGAAAATCTGAAATAAATTTCGACAGAGTCAAGACAAAAGGCAGATTTCCATTACAATAGGGATGAATTAGAAATTTGCGTTACAAACAAGTTGTAAAGGTGGGATCCAATATTTATGTTGGGTAACCGGATTATAATGGAAAGAAACTAGACATCTCGTTTTGTGAGTTTTAAATGTGCTAAAGGTGGGATACATAATATTTTCGAACCGAAGAGCTTTCTTTTGAATAATTCAGGAACAGATGTAGGCTCACGAATAATTACCACCATTGTTGTTCCAGTGGCCGTTTCCTTTTTTCTGTTTCTGGTAGCCTTCTCTATCTTTAATAAGAAGAACAAGGAAGAGAAATGAGGCAACTGGTAAATTACAGCAGTTAAAAATTGTATTATTAGATAGGGAAGAAAATATTTTAATCCTTTTTGTGCTTCGGAATCTTTCAAATGCCTGCCCATGTAACCTATGAAAATTAACAAATTTATTCTGTTGATGGATCTCAAGTCTTAACGCCTGAATCGCTGCAAGATAATCTGAGTTCAGTTCAAGCCGCCACAAGTAACTTCTCTGCTGACAACAAAATTGGTCAAGGTGGCCTTGGTCATTTATATAAGGTACCTATAAATTATAGGTGTCAAAATTGGTGATTTGAGCGGGTTTGGGTTGGTTAAAATAGGTAATGAGTATAAGTGAATCAATTTATTTATATCTATTTAATTAGATACGTATAAATAGATAAGTTAAAAAATAAATTGGATAACCCAATTACCCATTTATAACCCATTTATTATAATTTTTTGTAAACTCATTTAAATTCTTTTTTGCAAACTAAGTTATCAATTTATACCACTCTTTGCATCCATCATTAGTTTTAAATATTTACTTATAATGCTTAATAAGCCTAATTACCAATTTTTTTTTCATCCGTACTCTATGTCACAAAATTACATACTATTAATAATTGAACAATAAAAATATAAAAATTTGAACTAAGTACTATAAAAGTTAACATAAAAACTTAATTCAAAAATTTTGAACCCCTAGTATTTTTTTCGTATGTAAATTTAAAATTTCATTTTGGAAAGGTAGGAAAAGAAGTTAAAACTTTTCATAAATTGGTAATGTTAAAAAATGAGCAACTTAACAAATTAAGACTAAATAAAATGATAAGATAAAACCAACAAATAATAATGAAAATGAAACAAAAGTAGTTAACATCATGACAAAATGAAGAATATGAGAAAAAAAAATGAATGGGAGAAGAGAGAAGACTTGGGGAAGGACAATTTTAAATAAGTTAATTGGGTTTGATGGGTTACCCAATAATACCCATTTATTAAATAGGTATTATTGGATAACCCATTTATACCTATATACAAAAATTTAACATATCCATATTCATCTATTCATGAGCGAATATGGGTAAATTTAGTTAGATACTCATGACTAGGGATCTCTTCCAAATTTAGTTAGATACCCATGACCAGGGATCTCGTGAGATTTAGCACTTTTTTTTATAAAACTCTTACATGATTTCAAAATCTATGCATTGCCCCTTCACAATTTATACTGAACTGTCAAAATGATGAAAACTATTCAAATGTCGAGATTATCCTCGTTTAGAAACTAAAATAACTGAAGTGGCAAAAATTTATAAATGTAGTATGGATTACATTTTAACACCCTCTAGTTTAACGCTTTTCAACATAAGACTCTTATGATTTTTAAAATCTATACATAGTCTCTTATAGTCAACAAATAAGTTCCATCTTGAAAGCAACTACTATCAATTTTTGATACTTAAAATCCAAATTGTGAGGGAATTAATTACAACTTTTGAAATCATAAAAGGGTTACATTATAAAGTGCTAAACCACACGAGGGTCTTGTATAATTTATCCTAAAAAATAACAGGTTTTTTCCATAGCTAATACGATATTAATAGAAGCTTATAGTACTGCACACATTCGTAACATTGGCAATTTTTTATATTTGTCAACCCAATTGGCTTTGATTGTAGTGGCTATATGTCTCCCGAATATGCCGCCATGCATGGCCATTTCTCAGCGAAGTCGGATGTGCTTAGCTTTGGTGCTCTAGTTTTGGAAATTGTAACTGGCAAGAAAAACAGCAGCTTCCACCAATCAGATGGGGCATATGGTCTCCCAAGCTACGTGAGTGCAAATTAACAACCTGATATGATTTTGTTTGCCCTCTAAATTCGAAAGTTGTCCTGCGTAAAATATATCAAGTGTCTATGACATCCATTGCTATAATTGTTATAGGCTAGGAAATATGGAGGGATGGGACACCATTAGCATTGCTGGATCCAACTACAGGAGACTCCTCTGCCAGAGATGAAGTCATTCAGAGTATCCATATTGGCTTACTATGTGTTCAAGAAGATGTTGATCAGAGGCCAACCATGGCCTCTGTGGTTCCTATGCTTAGTAGTCGTTATGCCACGCTGCCAACACCTGATCAGCCTGCATTCTTTTGTTAGCAGTAAAACAGAGAGCTTTGCAAAAGAGTTTCATTTTGATGTATCCGCATGCATTTCAGTGCCAGCATGAGTCAATGAAATAAGTTACAGTTACGAAATTATATCCAAGATAGAGGAAGAAATTGGGCATTGCTTGTTTCAAGATTGTAAGCATTATCTACAAGTAAAAAAATTTCAAGATGGAACATAATTTGTACCTTCCCCATGTATTTAGGTGTTAAATTTTTGCAGGTATAAAAGAATCGATCTATTATTTAGGGGAAGGAGGGACTCCGTTAAAAACAGGGCTAATTACTGATGTTGGCAATTAAGTGCGGAGATTCGCTATTTTGAAGTTCAGGGATGCGATTGAACCAGGGGAGCTACTTTGAGGAGAAGGTGAAATTTTATTGTTGTTTCTAACAGTTTTATAGATTGGGCTAGCCTAAATTTTATGATAAGAGTGCACTTGTGAATTTTCCATAATTATATAAGAGGAAAAGGAAATGCACTTATATAGTTATAATGATGATTAAACCGTTGGTGCACAAAATGTGCAATTATTTCGTATAAATTTATAAATTTAAACATGGACAGGGTTTAAAGATTACGCTGTAATATTTTCGCTTGATAATATTAAATGGGCAGGCATTATTCGGGCTGAGCCTAGCTTGATCCAAGGCCGGTTCTCTCTCAATTTTTTAGATCCTGTGGTTTGACCAGAGCAATTAGATATTTCATGGAAGGGACAACAGTCACGGCAGCCAAGATTACTTGTAATAATCTACCCTTAAGTCAAGGATCAAACAACACACGCATCCAGTTAAATTAAACATTTAGTAGAAATCGAAAGAACGATCCAAATGGACAATCTAAGGGACTACAATACTTGTAATAATCTACAATTAAATCCGATTAGCATACCAGTCTCATCATCAACTTCCACGATAATTAATCTGCAGCTTTTTTTGGTTGACTAAGTACTTCATTCCTTTGCCACAATCTAGAAGTAAAAATAAGAACTCAATAAATAATTGCGCTTAGTTGGGTGGCTTGAAATGGTCTTTGATACTTACAATACTTATCAACAGAGTCAATAATCTGGTAATCATATGCAACTAGTCTAATAGCAATGGTTTGTTTCGCATAAGTTGAGAAAAAAAAAGGGCTTAGCCAAGAACTTGAACATGATGAACAAGCACAATTTCTTGATCAATAAAGTAGTACAATCATGTCTTTTGTTGTGGTGCTGCGGCAGCTTGCGCACACATGCGGCTGCGGCGGATGGCCCTAGCAGTCTAATTCGCGGCTGCCAAGGTACCAATCTCTCGGACGTCAACCCCTATCGACAAAACCTCAACCAGTTCCTAGTTTCAGCCGCTGCTGCTTCTCGCACCCCGGTCTTCAATACCTCCGCCACCGGCAGCGACCCATCTGATACAGTCTACGGCTTATTCATGTGCCGGGGTGATGTCAGCAGCGATGTCTGCGCCAACTGTGTCTCGACGGCTTCCACGGATTTCCTTAATTATTGCAGTCAGATGGTTGGGTATGGTTGGTACGATAACTGCCTCTTACGTTACTCGAACCAATCATTCTTCTCTGTTTTCTCCCAAGCGGATGCTGCCGTGGCTTCCTATGCGAGGAACACGATGAATGTTAGTTCTGACGAGGCCGACAAGTTCAACCAGGTTTTGGGAAGTAGCATGAATGAGGTTGCGGATGGAGCTGCCAATGATACTCGACCCCTGCAGAAATTTGCTGTCCTACTCGGGGGAGCAGAGTTTTCGAGCTCCAACAGTGTGTACCCGCTAGCCCAGTGCATACCTGAACTTTCCGGGACAGACTGCAGGAGATGCCTGAGTGATGCTATTTCGCTGCTGCCCAGATGCTGCGCCAATAGCCGAGGATGTAGAGTCGCCTTTCCTAGCTGCATGATTTGGTATGAGCTCTTCCAGTTTTACAACATTGCATCCCCATCAAGTGGTAAAGGTAAATTCAAGCCCCTCAGCCTAGCTACACCCCTTTTTGAGAAAAAAAAAAAAAATAGTAGTGACGCACTTAATTAGGTAATCCATCATAATCAACTATGGCAAATTAGGTTAGTAAATTGTTAGATAAAGTTGTTGAGTAAATGCTGATGCCCGGTACACTCCAACTATTTTTTTTTTAAACCTTAATTAGAAGTCAAGATTTTTAACCTTTGTGGGTCCAACTATTTTTTGGGTCAAAATAATTAAAATGCTAGAGTACATACTTCGTCGAATTGGTGAGGAGGACATTTCTGTCTAGTTTAATCCTATGTTCTTCTCTTGATTCAGGCAAAAAAGGAATATCAAAGCAAGCAGCTATTGGAATTGCTCTTTCAACCATTTTCTGTGTGTTGCTGTTTGTGGTGCTCGCTGTTTTCCTCCTCAAGAGAAGATCAAGAAAGCGACGTGATGCCGAAATACAAGAGGCATATGGTATAACTACAAGGATTGCAATGCACCATAACAAGACATAACTATCTTTGATTTATTTGCTTTTTTTAAAGAAATTTTTTGCCCTTAAACATTGGATTAAATGAGTAAACTTCAGTCATTTTTATGTTTTCTGTATAGATGGAGATGAAACCTTACAAATTGATCCCGAATCACTGCAGTACAGTTTAAGTGCAATTCGAATTGCCACAAACGATTTTTCAGTTGATAACAAAATCGGCCAAGGTGGATTTGGTCCTGTGTACAAGGTACCTGTATATCACTATGTGCAAGAGGAGCTTTGAAGAAAAACATACACAATTCACGTATAAACATTCCCTCAAACGGACGTATAAGTGATAATAACGTTTCCAATCAACTCCTAAATTTCTGCTGTTCATATACTCTCACAGGGTAAACTACCAGATGGACAAGACATAGCCGTGAAGAGACTATCTAGAAGATCAGGGCAAGGTGCACAAGAATTTAAAAACGAAATTGCAGTAGTTGCCAAGCTTCAGCATAGAAATCTGGTTCGACTTCTGGGATTTTGCTTGGAAGCAGGGGAAAAGTTACTAATCTACGAATTTGTTCCAAATAAAAGCCTTGACTACTTCCTATTTGGTAGGTTCTTCCTCAAATGCTTTTCCTCTTTTCTGTTGTTCTTTTTTCGTCTAATTTCCCGATTATGATTAAGCATTGAGAAATGCACTCTAGATCTGTTTGCATAATGACATTTTGCAAAATATTCCACAATATATTCTTTACACACATTTGCCTTTTGGATTAATCTCAGCTGGAATTTAAACTTCAAATTCTGCATATGTAGCATGTATCTAAATCCATTAGTGTAAACACTATTAGCGTAAAAAAGTTTAAATCTCAACGAAGGTCAATAAGCATTTTATCCTACATCTTTTTCCTGTGTATAGCATGACTTCGTGGTTCCTAAAACTGAGACGGAATATTTTCTTTGATGTCATTCTAAAGATCCAGAAAAGCAACAATTGTTGGACTGGTCAAAACGTTACAAGATCATTACAGGAATAGCAAGAGGACTTCTTTATCTTCAAGAAGATTCACGTCTTAGAATTGTTCACCGTGACCTTAAAGCTGGCAATATATTACTAGATGAAAGGATGAATCCAAAGATAGCAGATTTTGGGATGGCAAAAATTTGTGGAGTCGATGAATTTGAAGGAAACACAAATAGAATCGCCGGGACAATGTAAGTTCTGCATGCATCCAAACGATCAATCTCTCCTAATGGTGATTTGTGTTGTAAACCTATATACTGTCCCGACTGATAGCACTAGAATATCATAGGTTAGGTTACAAATTCCACTTATGGTGAAGATAGCCCTCCGGATTTTAATTTGATTACCCGCGAGGGTTTTTTTTTTTTTTTTTGAAATACACAAAAACAACATGATACGCACTACATATGCTTCTCCTCGAACATATTACATTGTCTTCTCATCCTAATAATCATGCTAACTAGTAACTATTGCGACTTGCAGTGGTTACATGGCTCCTGAATACACTACGACCGGGCAGTTCTCGGTCAAGTCAGATGTTTTTAGTTTTGGGGTCGTAATTTTGGAAATTATTGCTGGCAAGAAGAACAGCAGCTTCTACCTATCAGAGGATTCTCGAGACCTTTTGAGCTATGTGAGTGCACACAACAAATCTTAGCACCACTTCTACGATTCCTTCTGTTACGGTTTTTGTGCCTGCAAATCTTTGCATGATGTACTAGTCCAACTGGGTTCATACTTACAGGTGTCACTTGACTAATATTTGCCGTTTACTAATTGTGAACTCGATACTTTGGATTGATGTAAAACAGGCTTGGGAACAATGGAGACATGGCACGCCATTGGCCTTGTTGGATCCAACAATCGTAGACTCTTGTGTCGAAATTGAGGTCCTAAAATGCATCCAAATTGGATTGCTATGCGTTGAAGAAGATGCTGATAGAAGACCTATGATGTCTTCCGTGGTTTACATGCTCAGTGGCGACTCTGTTACCCTTCCTGATCCGCATCTTCCACTAATTTCCCGGCGTGAAAGAACAGAGAGCATTCCTGAAGAGCTAGAATCAGATCGATCTGATACCAAGTTACTGTTTGGCTCCATGACTGATTCATCATCATCTGCAGTTTAGGTTTTTGTGTTTTTTAGCACAAAAGTTTAGGACTGATGACATTTTTCATTTTTTTCATTGGTTGAGCGATGTATGTGCATTGAGGTCACGGCCCATTAACCACACAATTCTTTCTTCAGTAAAAGCTTTTAGCTTTTTTTTTTTTTTTTTGATGAAAATTGTAAATTCTCTGATGTGGTCAAGTATTTTCAAATGTTTATTGCCTCCTATAAGCCTAAATACAAGCCAGATGTGAAATTAAATTTGAGCAGATACAATACAAGGTAACATGTATCGGGACCGGTTAATTAAATAGTTTTTATACTGTTACTGTACAAGAGATAATTTTCGAATTCATTCGACATCTTTGATTAAAGACAGAGATGCCTTATTTTTCACACTAAGCATTGAGTACATCACTTACTAGAACACCTTCCGAGGATGTTGGAAGGGGCAAGAGAAGGTACCTACCCAACAGGGCATATATATGGAAGGGGAGGGAGGGTACTGCAATTCTTCTCTGCTTCCCAGGCTAGACCTCCTGTTATTCTCCCATGCGTAGCTAAAGCTTAATTGATGGATTTACGTGGTCTTCTTCTTCTTTTTTTTTTTTTTTTTCTGTTTTTAATGAAGTTGGAATAATTCAGTGGGCTATCTCCATCTCTGCAACTTATATTTTTCTTGTCATTATTATGAGATATTTGCATGTTTTAGCTTGAGGAGCAGTGGTGGATTTATCATTTAAGGTGGTGGGCATTGGGGGGCCCCCACAAAATTCTTCTGGCACGCCTTCAATTTTAGTAGATTTTTAGTTTTGCCCCCTCTAAATCATTTAGTTGGGAACATATTTTATGTCTAATTTTATATTTTGACCGAAATTGGAACCCTAAACAATCCAAAATGAAAAGCTTTTTCGTCTAATCTTTTAGCTTCCTTGGAAGTCATTTTAATTTATTACGCGATGGTTAATTGAGTTGGACTTTTTCTAGTCAATCATAAAATACAACGTTGATATGTATCTACAATTAAATAGTTATGCTGCTCAAGTAAAAATAAAGCAAAGGTAATAGGTTGACATTTTTTAGTAAATAAAAATTTTCGTTTCCTTTTGCTTAGAAAGTAGTGTAGGTCAAAAATATTTAGTATGTTTTTTAAAAGAAAATAATTATCTTATCAATAAATTTGAGCATGTCCTTTTATGCCACAGCATCCCTAATTTGTAATATAATTTCACTTGTTATGCAAATATTGCTATTGTGTCCTTTAGAGAAAATATGGAAGTATAATATTATTTTAGGTTTTTCTAATGGATCCCTCCGCATGGTACGCCTAAATCAAACTCAAATATCATGTGAATGAATACAGTAACAATTATTATGTGAATGCAAATATTAATAATTATTGTCCCTTATTGCATTTATACACTTTTTTGAATAATTTTTTCCCAAAAAAATAAACACTTACACTCAATTTTAGAATTGATCTTCTATACACTGACAGTGTATATATTTTCACCATTAGATGCATGACAAATAATTCGAATTTGAATTTAAAACACAAATTTTACATATGTATCGTATATCTAATCGTGATGGTGTATAAAGCATCAGTATGTATAAGATTTACTCTTTTAACAAATGCTAGTGACTTTTGTTAAAAGAAACCTTACTTGTTTTTTGCCACCACCTGAAATTAATCCTGGCTTCGCCACTGTTGAGGAGTTTCTAAATCCAAGCCTTATGGACCCAGCACTCAAGCTGCCACAAGAAATAGCAAAACCTGAAATGTTTGCCAAACGGCTTTTTAATCATGTCCCACTTGTCGGAAGGGACTTTAGAGTGGCCCAAAGTGGTCCAACCTGCTTTCATGCCGGTTTAAGCAAAACCATGAACCTGATCTCTCACTCGTCTGAATAGAGTTTAGATCCAAAGGGAGATTACTACCAACGGTCATGCATCCAAGCTTTGTATTAATCAATTCACAAAACCTGCCCAAAAAGCATAGAAATTCCTTGACTATTGCTAGCTCTCATGGGATCATCCCAATACTAGATATGCCATGCCAAAAATAAACTAGTGGAAACCTTTTTTTTGTGCTAGTTGTAGGGGTATATTAGTAAAAAAAACTTTAAAATTAATCAGTAGGAACAAATTACCCATTGATGTTATATTATCATGTGGGAATGGGGTTATATAATTATGAGAGTATAAATTTGTATTATGTAAAGGATAAATTAATTTAAAATTTTATCATCCTATCCATTAGTCATTCTAGGATGACTAATATCACCTCCCCATGGGATTATTTTATCCCATGAATAAATGATTAATCCAATTCTATATCATTCCATTAACCAAACGGACCCTTAGCTCTTATGTGGTCATTGCAATACTTGATGTGCCAAAAATAAAGGGTTATTATCACTTTACCTCTCTTAAACTATATTACTACTATCAGTTTACCCCCTAATGTTATTTTTTAGTCACTCTACCCCTATGAATAATTGAACTCAACATGTTAAAAAATTTTGGATAAAAATACCATTTTATTTTATAGTATTATTACATTGTTATTATCACTTTATTCGTTTAGATTATAGTGATACAATCACTTTAATTCCTAACATTATTTTCTAGACATTTAACTCATCATTAATCTAATTAGTATGGTCAAAAAATTTTAAATATATTTAACCTTTTTTATATATTTAACCATAATTGGATAATAAGACTATAGGGGTCACACTGCTGTCACAATAATCCTGATATAATAAAGTCAATAATCTACTAATAATAAAAAAATCATATCCAACTATTCTGTAGCAATTGTTTGTTTCGCTCAAGTAAATGATGTTAGCACCAACGCCACCCTAGAGCTTGAACATGTGCCTATTTTGCTGTTTTGCACAAAGATAATGCCTCTTTTTCTTTATATACAACATTATCATCTAGATGAAAAATAACATCAAAGCATCATATAATGTACTTGAGATAAAAAAAAAGTTAAAAAGATAAAAAAGTAATTAAAAAATATGTTTGTCATTTAAATAAATTCTTTTTTTCAAATAATAACTTCTCGAACACACACTAATTTACACGATGAATCATTAGCCTTTTTGACTCCTGGAGAGATATGATATTTTGACATGGAAAAAATATAAAATATAATTTCGATTAAATGAATTAAATGATAAAGACAAAAATAAAGATGGCCTACAATCTTAAGGTCGTACTATTCATTTTGGAATTTCATGTTGCTGGTCAGCTTAATAACGCAGTACTATGTTCTGGTAGTTAAAAAGTCCCTTTTGTTATGAAATAATGATAAGATGTAGATGTCCATTAATATTTTCAAAAAGAATTACAAGATGTGGATGTTAAGATGTGGATGTCCATTGATATTCTCAAGAAGGATTACAAGATGTGGATGTCCGTTTATATTTTCGAGATGATAGACACATGTATTCTCCCTAGATTCATTGGTACATTGGATGAACTCATTTATGGATGTACTTGATATACTAAATTCATGTATTTGTATTTAATAGAGTTCATGTACCTTTGATCTTGGATCACCTGTATATAGGGGTGTATCCTACTTCATTTGTAACCTTGAAAACCTTAAAATCTGGAAGTACTTTGATCAGTAAATATAATAATTCTATCTCTCTCTTCTTCTTACTCTACTATTTCAATCTCTACTTTTGGTAGTTTCTTTTATTAGTTTTACAACACGTATCAGCACGAGTCTCTACTTTGAGTGAAGGAAAGGCGCGAAGCAAAAGTGAAGCACGAGACGTGTCAAGATTTTGCCCGAACAACTTTTGGCTACTTATCAAGGTAATATTCTTTCCTACGAATCTATTGCATAGTCTTATGGTTAATCTCACAAAACAAGAGTTCATACCTCTTGATATTTCTGGAAAAAATTATTTATTGTGGGTTTTAGATGTTGAAATTCATCTTGAGGCAATGGGTCTTGGTAATACTATTGTTAATGAGAATGATGCCTCAAATGAAGACCGTGCTAAGGCCATGATTTTCCTTCGTTGTCATTTAGATGAATGATTAAAAGTAGAGTATTTTACTGTCAAAAATCCTCTCGTCCTTTGGCAAGATTTGAAAGAAAGATTCGATCACCTGAAGTTGATTGTTCTTCCAAAAGTCCGATATGATTGGCTTCATTTACGGCGACAAGATTTTAAATCTGTCAACGAATATAATTCAGCCATGTTCAAAATTACTTCTCAATTATCATTGTGTGGTGAAAAAGTCACTGATGAAAATATGTTAGAGAAAATATTCTCTACTTTTCATGTCTCTAATATGCTCCTGCAGTAGCAATATAGAGAGAAAGGATTTAAGAAGTATTTTGAACTTATTGCATTTCTTCTGTTGGTTGAACAAAATAATGAATTATTGCTGAAAAATCATGAGTCCCGACCAACTGGTGCAAGTCCATTCCCTGAAACGAATGGAACTCAATTCCAAAATTCTGGTTGAGATCGTGGACGTGGCCGTAGAGGTGGCCATGGACGTGATCGTAGTAGATTTGTGCCTCGTGAAAATTATAACCGTGGCAAGCAACAAAATATTTCCCAAAAAAGGAAAAATAACTACGATCCGAAAAATGGAGAAAAGAAAGTTTATGAAGAAAAATGCTACCGGTATGGTATGGAAGGTCACTGGTCCCGTACCTGTCGAACGGCTGAGCATCTTGTTGACCTCTATCAAGAATCATTGAAAAAGAAAGACAAAGGTGTTGAGACAAATTTCATTGATCAAAAGAATAATTATGATGATGCTGATATGACATATCTCGATGTAACTGATTTCTTTGAACATCCTGAAGATGTCAACAAATATCCCATGATTGTTTAGATATTTTTATAATGCTTTTATATATTTCATGTAATTTTCTTTTTATTTAATATTTATCTTCGCATTTTTATTAATATTTATTTTTATTTGATTTTTTCTTCCTGAAAAAGAAATGAATGCTAAATATTTGGGATCAAATAA